CATAGTTTTGAATAAATGCTTAATTATAGCCTACTTCAAAGTGGTAACTTTCTGTGAAATTAACATAACTGCCCCTTGTCTCTTTCATATAGCAATATTATAAATACGTGTACCCCAATCTGTGCCTTTTAGTTCCAGATGAATAAATCTACTATAAGAACTGATGATTACGTTTTTTGTCACTGTGTGATTATTTGTAAAAGGGTTCATTGCAATTTTGCAATTTTGAGTTTTTAAAAATGTTTCCAAATTGCTATTTGCAAACAACTCTGTGTTTGTTTTAGACATAGGAACCTTTCAAAAGTTTCATCTTCCAAGATTGAATTGCAGATTTATATTCAGAAACTTTTTCAGAATATACTCCCTTCTAACCCTATATTCCCTTCTCCCTTTCCTCCCAGGATTGTATAGGCAGTTGTTAATGTGAATTTAAAACTCAGTATGAATGGCTTAGGAGGAAAAAATGTAAGGCCATCGGAATTTACTCTGGTCTTAATCTGGATTTAGAGACTCAATTGAATAAAGTACATTATGCTTGAATAACTGAAGTTTCTATTATTATGAAACCTTTTTAAAATAGAAAATAGCACCAACAACATGTTGAATGTTTTCTTGCACATTTCCTACTTTTGATTAGTATTTTTGATGTCTTACAGATAATTTAAAATGTCGCTATTCATTTTAAATTATGCATGTTAGCATTTATATGTAACAGGTCTTGTGATATGGTGGTGAGATCATTTCTTTCCTCAGACATCAGAGATCAGCACCCAGTTCTGGCTCCAGGAGACCGTGGGTTGGTCTCTCTCTGAATCTCTTTGGGGTCTTCTTTTTTCATCTGTAAAAATTAGACTAATGGTCTGATTTCTGAAGTCTCCAACCAATAAAGTTCTATGATTCTCACCAAAATAGTACTTATTTCTTATAGAAGGAACTCTTAATAAAGCTGATATACCTGGACCTCCCCTACTCTCAATAATTAGATTTCCCAATCTTTATATATTTCCCAGGGTTGTATATTTATAACTGTTGCTAATAACACTCACTATTTTTTTCATTCTTTCTATTTTATTTCAAGAAAAAGTTGTGGTTAGGAAAACTCTGATACACTCAGTTGGAAATATATACTGGCTCATGGTAGTGAAACATTGAAGCAAACTTTTGAGACCTGATTACCCTTAGCTTGGCAAGTAATAGTGAAAGATGGCTCTTGTTACCATTGGATTGTTTGCTCCTTTTTGTTTTCTCCATGCAGTTCTCCAGGTGGTTCCTATGTATCCTGAAAGGCAATCCATCCAAAACCACAATCTAATTAGCAAGTATTTCTTGAGCACCTATCATATGCGAGTCATTGTGCTAAATATGGAGGATACAGTTATGCATAAGAAATGGCCCCTGCCCTTGAGTGGATTATTTGGGGGGGGGCAGTGCCTATCATATGTAGACACATAACAAGTGCTTACTGAATGAATGAATGCATATGTGAATGAATAAATGAATAAGGCATACCCTTAACACATTCATGATTTATCTTAGGTAGATAAGATATACAGGTTCAGTTTAGCTCATCTTAATAGTAATTTATTGAACACCTTCTGTGTGCCAAACATTGGGTCTAGCACTGAAAATTTCGTTAGGGAGATAAACTATTGTATAAGTTGATATAGCAAGGCAAGAACCATTGTATGGATTATACTTTTCAATACTTGCCAATAGACATAACTTTCAAGTGCTCTAATGGGTGCTGAAGAGCTGGCTCATGTAGGCTTCATTTAGCACAGATTTAATTTTGATCTTAAAGTTGTTATAGGAGTTACATATAAAGTTATTGTAGTGTGGGGACAACAACAAGAAAATACTAAGACCTCAAACACCACTCATTGGTGGATAAAGGATTCTATGGCTCAGTACATAGTGCCAAAAGGAGGAAAGAAAGAGAAACCATTTTTTAGTTACTGCATACTGATGATAAAAGTGATGATGATGATAAGGATGACAGCTGCCTTTTATCCTGGGCTTACTAAACAGCAAATTTTGTCCTGAATGCTCTATATGCGTTACCTGATTGAATTTCCCCATAGGCCTTGGAGGTGGGCATTACTATCCCCACTCTGCAGATAAAGAATCTGAGGTTTAGCAGAATGAGATAACTTGCCCAAGCCAGAGAGGTGGCAAATGGTAGAGCTGAAATTCAAAGTCAAGTTTCCCTCGGTCCCCAGTTTCTCCTCATAATGAATGCATTACTGTTATCCTATCCTTGTTGTCAGAGTTCTCTGGTTACTTCAGGTCTGCTAATTGCTAACTTTATTCTTTCTGCAATTCATTAGGAGATTGTTGGCTACAAACAGTAGAGCTTAATCTAAGAACAGCTTTCAGGACTGCAATCTGTCAAAGAAAATTTTGTTAAGCTCTTTTCCAAAGTTTAGAAATACAACATTTTTCATAGTAATATCTAAAGCAATTTTAGAGACTTCTATAGAATATCAAATATGTGTCTGTTTCTTAAAGTGTGTGTATGTGTGTATACTTATTTATATACATACAGTGTCAAAAATGTATACACATTTTAAGAAAGGAAAAAACTATTAAAATTCTAATAATATATACTGATAACAAAAGATGAATACAAGTCACGTTTGACTTCTGCAATTACAAGAGGTGCTCAAAGTGGTTACCATCAGTGTCCAGACACTTCTGATTATGGCGAACTACTGCTTGAGCAACGTTGACCCAAGTGTCCACTTGTATACATTTTTTGGCAACCCCGGTATGTGTGTGAGTGTGTGTATGTGATTTATATACATATATAATCATTACAAGAATAAGATGAAGGAGGAGGTATGATTAGATGGTGGTTTTATGGAACTGGCAAACTGACCTGTTTAGAGAATGACACATGCATGTCATCATTACAGCAAGAAGTATGAGAGTTTCTAAATCTGAATAGAAAACATAAAGGAACACATAATTTTTTTATTCTCCCAAAAGGCAAATATAATAGAGGGAGGGAAGGATGGAGCAAAGCAGCTGCAAGGAGACTGGGGTTAAATGTCTGATCCTCTACTTTGACAACTGTAAAAACATATTTGATCACTGATGTCATTACTGGAGAGGCTGACATGCTGTCAGTCTGCAGACAACACAATCTTTTCATGCTTGTAGAGTTGCCATTTCTTGCTTATTTTACTATTAGGAACATGTTATCAGTTTGTTTACATCTGTAACCATATGTTAGTAAATTAGTATATATACAAAGAAAACTTTGACAGTTAAATTTTTGTTGAAGACAGTAATTTGAGTTTAGAGCTTCTTTTTTTCCAATCACAAATAAAACTAAAGTTGGAAATGTTATCAAAAGAAAGACATAAGAGTAATTTCTATTTAATTGCTTCAGTTACAAGTGCATACAAATAATGAAGTGAGTATATATGTGAAGTTTAACAAGGAGCTTATTTTCCCTGATACGTAACAACTTCAAACATACATTTGATTTTTTGCCTCAATGTGATTTAGTTGAAAGAGAAGGTGATTTGGTGCCTGCTAGTGTGGTAACAAATGCTTGCTATCACAGTTATTGTGTGGCTTTAATCATTAGGTCTCTTCTGTCTTTCTTTGTGTTGGATGGAGATGAGAATGCCTATCTTTCAGGGCTATAGTAAGAGTTCAAGGGAATATGTATGAAGCATTGAACATAGAGCTTATACTAAGTGTTGAATAAATGGTGATCACAATTTAGTAATGACCTAGGAAATCAGGACATTGAGAGGAGAATGAAGAAAAAAGGAATATTAGTAATAGAAAAATGCAGTGAAATCGATGAAAAGATGGTTTAAAATGGCCAGTGCTGAGAGAGGGAATAAACATATCAAAAGCCAAAATGTTAAAAGATAAGGGCACTCAATAGAAAAGTTTGTTTATAGAGTAATATTCTGACTTTTGGAATTGTGTTTTCACATGTAAGCACAGTGCCCCAGAAAAAAAGAAAGAAAAAGCAACAATATAAAACTATGGGAAAATTAAACAAAAACAAGAAAATTAGATTAAATATGGATCTTTTGTCCAAAAACAGTTGAACAATGTAAATAGAACAATAAGATAAAACAAAAACCCTGGGAAGTCTTGAAAAGAAAAACAAAGAAACACGAGCAAGGAAAAAACCAAACACGGAGGAGAAAGGGTTCAAGCATACATAGGTTTAAGCCAGTATAACACATACAACTCTGCTTCTAATTTTGACAGCAAAAAAAAAAAAAAAGATATCTGAATTGAGCAATTTACTCTTTAAAAAGGGCATATGTAATGTTAAAAAGCAATGATTTTTTAAATTCTCAAGTTAAAACAGAATGCTATATTTAAGCATGATATGTATGTCTGTGTTTTCATATACATGTGGAATTTTGGGGTTTTGACATGGAGAAGTCATTTGATTTCATTATAAGTTTACCCACCTAGATGCTAGAAAGGAGAAGCTTGATTGTTTACTCATTCACTCAACTCGATATAAATTACAGTTATAACAACAGAAAGAATAGAGATGGTAGCTAGTTAAAAATAGCCATGTGTCATTTTGCTGAATGGCTAAAACAACAACAGCAACAAAAATATTTTCAGCCATACATCAAGCCACCTGAAAATTCTTTGGGGATCAATTCCTTCCCTTCTATAGTAAAGTACCATGTGTACATCTACTACAAATCTAAAGGCAAATAGACTTGTTCCTGTTCACTTGTCCTTGCAATGAAGCATCTGCTCACTAGGTTTTCCGCTGTTATTTTTTATCCTGATTGTTTCAACTCAGAAACATCCTCCTATCACCTTTTCAGTTGTTAAATCTCTCTGTCCTTGTGGCTACATCTCTGTGCACCAGAGAAAAGATCTCATTAACAACGTAGATCTGTGTGTCCTTAGCACTGAGGCCCCTTGCTTGCAGCTGGAGGCAGCTCTTTGCTCAGCCCGCAGTGCAGAGTGACACAAACAGGCGACATCGTCACTGAGCACGAACTTCTATTACATCCAGGCAGACTGTGAGAACCATTTCAGAACCGCAGCAAGACACGAGGAAGCAAAGGTAATCCTTCTGTTTCTATATCCAGTTTTGGCGAGAAATAAATATTTCCATCTGGAAGGGACAATTGGTCAAAACTGAGGGAGTGGTAGGTTCAGTGTCAAAACTGAGAAGCCAGGAAATCAATTCATCAATCAGCTAGGAAATAAAGTGCAAACAGAGAAAGGGAAGAGCTTCTGATTTTGTTTGTGTGTGTTTATTTCAATGAAACCCTCATGCAAAATGAATGAAATGTTTTTTCAGGGTGGCTATAAAAAGGGGTGTGCTAGTGAAGGCTTTGTTACATGGGACGTACACTGCACACTAATATCTGGTAACAAGAGGAGGAGTTTTTGTCTTACTGGCATCTCCAAGTTGGAAAGACCTTTAGCGATCATACAGTCTGTCATGAATGATCACATCTAATACTTTTCTTTTTTTAAAGGGATAGCTGCAAAGTTTTGGACAAGACCTCTGCAGGCATCTGGAAACAGTGTACCCAGGTGGTGGGTCTCGTCTGTGGCAATATATTTTTCTGTCTGTCCAATTGAGTATGGCTGTAAAGGGAATAAAAACCCATGTAATCTCCAGCAGTGACAATTTAATCAGTTATACAAGGGGAAGAAGCAGAGTCCCCTCATTTTCATATTTGCATATTTGATTTTTGCATTGGGGAATAGGTTATGTTTTTCTATTACTTCCCATTCAATTTTAATATTTAACTTTTATGAGTAAATTTTTACAGTAGTAGGAAATACTGAGTCAAATTGGTCTAAGAGAAGGGCTCCTTTTCAGAAATAAAGCACTTGATGTGCCATGCTTTGTATAACATCCTTCCCTACAAAGACTCTATATGCCAACCATGGCTCTCTTGCTCCCAGCTTCTGCACGTGATGCTTCTGCTATTAACATTCATGGATCCACCCTGAAAATGAAGGCAACTGTTGGGAGAACAATGCAAAATGATGGGGACTGTACCGTAGTATGCCCCCTTTTTTGTTAATATTTCTTAAAATGGTAAATCTTAATAATTGAGTAATTGAAAAATTTCTGAAGAAGTGGGGTTTCTAAAATACCCAATATATGCAGGGGTTAGTTTTTATGAGGTTATAAAAGAGCAATAAATGCAGTTAAATTAATAAAACTCCATTGTTTTTACAATTGATGGAAAATATTATTGCCCATAATGTAGTCAAAGATTATGGGGTAGATTTTAAGATAAATAAGATGCAAGTAATTTGAAGTTACCCTTGTGTGACTCCCAGGAGTATTTAAAAAATCTATTCAAAATGGTGTTGGATGTGAGTAACCGGCACATGGATAGCTGGGTTTTTTTTGTTTTGTTTTTTTTAATGCATTAATGCATGTTAGCTTCCACTTGTGAAAGCCCCAAAAGAATGTTGGGTACTTTAAGAAAAAAAATAGCAATCTTACTTGTGGAATGTTTAAAAATTCAATTATAAAAACTGAACTCTGAAGCCACCATGTCACTGGAAGGAGTAATGATTTTGATTCTATATAATTTTACAAATAAAAATATTAAACAATAGTTTTGAAATGTCATGTGCATTAAAGTTAGTCTAAGTATACATTCACACATTCATTTGTACATGTGTGTATGTCTCTTTGTGTATATATAAATGTGGCCTGTTGATAATCAAATTGTATGAGAAATAACTAAATTTGGAATTCTGAAAAGATAAGATAGTTTTTATTAAAGAATAGAGCAGACAGTCTTTTTAGTTTATGTCCATGAACATCAGTAGCAGTACAGACGCATGGATAATCATTAGGTGCTTTGGGGGTGATCACAGATTTGCATTAAATTCAAGCACATAATATGTCAAGTTTTGAATATGTTCTTGTTTATTCAAATCTGCATTCTGATGATCACTCTTTCAAAGAGGTTACAAATATATGAATATGTGATCCAATAATTACATATTTAAATTAACCCTGTTTCTTTGAATATGTTTAATGATTGAATGATCCCCAAAACACTCAACTTCTCAGGGAAATATTCTGATGCCTCAGCATATTTTCTCAAGGCCTGGAGAGTATTAGATCTGCCTAGGAGTGCCTTGAAGCACAGAAACTCTGCTCTACCTAAACACACGTCCTAGGCTTTAATCACAATGGCTAGGTTCACATGAAAGCAATTAACCATATGATTGCCTTTCTAGGAGCCCAGCCTCATCAGTATCGTTCCTTCAGGCCAGCTGACAAGATTGGATATAGTCACCGACTTAAGTGGATGTGATTGCCTAAGAGGCACAAGTCTCTGAACACACAGTCCCAATTGCAGAGTAGGAATATTCATCCTCAATCTATTTTTTAGAAGTTTCCAATTCACAATCAACACTTTCAATTTAAATGATTAAGAGAAAATGATTATTCCATTAAACAATTAAGGGACACAAAGTAACATAAGAAAGTTGAGACCAAATGATAATGATCTGTTTATAGTATGTTGGGATTTTTTTTGAGGGGAGTCGTTTGTTTTGTTCTTTTTGGCAGGGGGGGGTGTTTATTATAGCTCTCAAAACCCAAAATAATAACATTTAAAGTTTGAAAGAGGTAAAAACGCCTAAGGAAAGCAATTTGTATTTGACTAGGCAAAGGTTAGAAAAGGTTAGATAAGGTTAGAAAACTAGGCCTGTGTGTGTGTGTGTGTGTGTGTGTGTGTGTGTGTGTGTACACACATACATGCGTAGTACTTTTTTTAGGCTTATTGAACATTGTGATTTCACTGGTCATTGCTGGACTTGGTGGTATATCAAGTGTAAACTTGAACCTTTCTATCATCCTCTTCTTGGTATTCTAATGGGAAGTTTCTGCTGGCATGATAAGATTTTTGGTTATTATCCATTAAAATGATTTCTCCAAAAGTGAGCTATTAAAGGATTTTTAATGCTTTCCTAGCTTAAAAGCCAAGTATGAATACAAGATCTGAGCAGCAGAAGTTTTCCAATGGGTTTGTCTTTTCTCAAAAACACTTTAGCAGATTAGCTTAAATATTCCTCAAATGCAATTAAAATGCACTAGACAACAAAGCCTGCTCTCCCCCTCCCCCAAATACTAAAGAATTCATGCTTCCAGTATGCACTGGCCAGAAATCTGGAAGGCTATGTGGTCTGATAAGCCTCACTGGTGCTGTATCTCATTCTGAAATGCCAATCAATGTACTTATTGCTCTGAACAACGTGTTAAAATTATGAGGTTGGTTCCCAAAAAGATTTGCACAATTTGGAATCTAACAGTTAATTTCATGACCTTCAATAAAAGAAAGTACACCCACGGAATTTTCGTCTTGATGATGTTGGGAGCCTCGTAAGTAAAAATACTTAACAATTAGAACAGCGATTTTTTTAAAGGTATTAGACTGATTTATCTTGAATCAGAGAAGACTATCAAAGTTAGTAAAAACTTTTTTCTGAATCTTATTTTCAAGCACCGAAAGCCAATTCTTTCTCATGTTCAAATATTTAGATAAATGATAAAACAGTTTATCTGCTGACTTGGCAAGTTGCGACCCAACCAAAGCACACAATTGTTCTGGCTCCTCACATTCAAAGCCGAGTGTTCTGAGAACCTAGGCGATCTGCTGAGCATCAGGAGCACAGGAGGTCACGTGCCGGGGACCTGAGGGGAAACGTGCTGAAAGGACCACAGTCTTTCGTCGTCATTGAGACCACAAACCTGATGGACTTCAAAACACGTGTCGCTGTATTCCATA